TGTGCTGCTGCTGCTGCTACTGGTACTGTTACTGGTACTGCTACTGCCACTGCCACTGCCACTGCCGCTGCCGCTGCCGCCGCCGCTGCCACTGCTACTGCTGCTGCTGCTGCTACTGCTGCTACTGCGACTGCTACTGTGACCGCTACTGCTACTGCTACTGCGGCTGCTACCGCTACTGCTGCTGCTGTTGTTGCTCTCCGCTGCTAGTGCCTCTGCTACTGCTGCGGCTGCCGACTGCGATGGCTGCTGCTGCTGCTGCTGCGGCTGCTGCTGCTGAAGCTGCTGCTGCTGCTGCTGCTGCTGCTGCTGTTGCTTCGGCATTTACCTTGAAGTGCTGCCGCTCGTGCGATGACCGTTACTGTTATTTTTTGGTAGCTATTGCAGCAGCCAGAACAGTTTCAAAGGACGACATGCAATGCTAGATGTATCTACCCACATGCCAGCACTGTAACAATAACGCTGTGGTAGTCTCCCACCGCTTGGAACCTCGTGATCTGTATGGCCTTGCCCGCCGTAGGTGGCACCGCCACCACGGCCAAAGCCTGTGCGACCCGCTACGGTGGACACCGTCAGAATCCTGGCCCGGAAGGACAGTGTCCCGGTTTCAGTGCCTCGGAACGTGAGTTCCAGAACTTCGTCGGCTTTGATTTTCTGATTCGGCGCGCAAAGATGTATCAGAAGAACCGTTGTTGAGTCGCTTGAGTACAAGTGTCTGGCAAGCCTGGACAGCTTTCGTTCACATGACATCTATGAGGTCTATGGTGTGCAGGGTCCCCAGATCTTGCCAAGCTGCATTGCAAGACTGTCTTGCTGTCGAGGCATACATCCCTTCTGACACTTTGCTCTAATGTCAATCTCGGTTTCATGTCAGAACTGCGGCAGTATGCAATCATCAGATGCCTTGGCCATTTGGGGTAAGAACGAGAAGAACGAAACAACCACTTCGCGAGCCCAGAATTTCCTTATCCTCTCCGTCGCCACGCCATGCCATCAGTTCTGCCACTCCAGTAGCAGCCACCTGCCAGATTGCAAATCCCCATGTGTACTGTCATGCCAAAATAGGTACTATCATGCCAAAGTAGGCATACAGGCGACGGTCCCTGCTGCAATTGAGTGGGCAGTGCAGCATGGCATCACAGGAGGGAAACTGAAGCTGTAATCATGGACTAAAATGTGTTCCAGAACCCTCGTAAACAATGTTTTTGTACTGCGCATGTCATGTTTCGTCATCTTACTACAGCCGGGTATGATAACATGTGTAGACCACCACTTGACAACCACTCTATGAGTTTGTTCAACCGAGTACACTTTGACATGTTGAAACGGTACATGTTTACGCTGACGGGTGGAGACTATTTCAGTTCATGATAGTATGCAAGGCATCGCTTATTTTGGAGGTTAAAGAGGCTGAGCAACAAATCAAACACCGCATGCCTGCGCCGGTGATTGTCATAGAATCAAACATGCCAGCTTTTTCGCTATGTGATGTTCTTCATCATACAACACATGACGACAACACAACCAATATATAGTTTGCGCAAGAATGGGCGTTTGCAAGGCAGCCAGTCAATGTACCAAGAGATGCAGCCAAAGCGCTCGTCGAAGAGTGACCCGCGTGCACAGTGTTTAGTTTAGGCCGAGCCGCAACAAACCAGAAGTCAGTTGACGAAGCCTCGTGCAATACTTACAGAGGGTCGTGACTGTGGCGTAAAGGCCTTCCCACCTGTCAACATGCTGCGCGGCGACATTTACTTTAGAAGCGTGAAGGGATGTGTCGCAGTTGCGTGTTGTCTGCCAGGTACCTGAAACGAGTGCCAGCACAAATTGCTCGCGGGGCCAATGGCTGGCCAGCTCTAGCAGCACTTATGGCAGAAGAAGGCGACGAAGGTCGGCTTAGGGCAGGGACGTGGCCTCCGCCACTCTGCGTTCCGAAGCTGAGAAGTTTCTGCTTCGCATGTGGCGTGGCATCTCTTTGCTGCCAGGGCCCCTCGGCCTGGAGTGGTTCTGGTTGAGGCCTCGCACCGGCATGCTCAGCATCATCATGCCGATGCCCAACACGATTCCGTCTTATAGTGCTAGCACGACTGGCGCGTGTAGCAAGCTTAGCAGCTTTATCATTCGTCTTCGGCCAGCCGCCATCACTTGCGATTCGGGAATCTACGTTCTGCTCGTGCCTATCTTGTGTGCGGAGGCGCCATGCAGAGCCCGTGGATGCAGCGAGTGCCGAGGGTCTGGCCGTGTGGCGAGAAAAGAGGCGCTCGTAGTGGGGGATGGGAGGCCTGCTGTTTGATTTGGACTTTGGCAGACAGAAGGTGTGCTTCAATCTATGTTTGCGCCTAGGTCGAAGTAACGGTACCCGTACTCATGCTCGTATTCACAGCAGCAGTAACAACAACAACAACAACTACTACTACTACTACTACTACTACCGCCGCGACGACGACGACGATGACTACTGCTACTGCTACGACTGCCACCACTGCTTCTAGAAACATGTCGCACGAGAGTTCGATGATGGTTCCGCGAAAGGCATCAACAAATCCGTGAGGAAACCATTTCCAGAACAAGGAACATTGATCAATGCTCGTAAGTTTGGTATGCATGTTCGTATGAGTGGCTGTGTATGCATGCATGTATGGTGTACAGTATATGCGTTTAGTGGAATTGGAAAATAGAGCCCGCTAGTGTCAAAAAGTCCTGGTGCCGAGGGCGCAAGGCTGTTTTGCCCAGGTTCACAAAATCTTCCCTCGCTCTTTCTCAGGCAAGCTTCCTCCTACGGCCAACTAGTTCACTTCTCCGTTGTGGACGTGTCCTTCTTTGAGGTCGGCTGAGTCGGCTGTCTTGCATGTCTTGCGAGAGCGACGATTGAAAACATGAGCTTGTGCACGACATCCTGCATGTGGCAGCGTTTGCAGAAGGCATTGTCATCAGACTTCAGGAAGCATAGCGCTCTGCACAGAGCTTTTTCCAGTTCCTGCTGTTCTGTGAAGCTGCTCTCTTCAGATCTGGTAGTGCTAGCGATGGGTTGAAGCTAGCATCAACATATCACGAAGTGATTTGAACAAGGAGGCGCTGCAGTCGGTGAAGTCCATCATGCACCCTGGCGCCAAACATCACCATCTGGGCATTCTCTTCCTCGCACTCAGCGCTGATTGCAGAATCCGGCATATGTTGGCAGACTTCATGCCTGTGGTTGATTATGATGATGATGATGCAAGCAGAAAGACCCGACATCATACAGTTCTTGCTGCTTGCCCATGCACACTTCTGACAGGCCACATACGATGTAGAAGAAAGCTCATCGCGTGAAAAAGCAAGAGCAGCTTCAAAGGTTCGCCTGCCTTCCGGTGAGTAACATTCGCCTTACCTTGTGGCGCCGGACTTAGAGAAGCTGCCTGGGTGTCGCAGCAGTTGTGTATAGAACTGTTCGGCTGAACGTGATTCCACGCTTTCCCAGGCACAGCCCATCAGAGGACGGCAGCTTGAAGGGAGATCCCGAGATTGAGGCGAAACCGGGGAACGTAGGCGTCGGCCTGTGGGCCACAGTAGGAACTATGTGGGACTTTCCGAATATTAGGGCTACCTTATTTTGGGGTCCTGACAAAAAGGATCCTACTATTTAGGGTACTATATTAGGGTCCCCCCTATATGTCTGTGGTTGCAAGGCTATCGCCAAGAAGCTGTACTTCAAGTGGTTCACGCTCCTCGTCGAGAGTTGTCGAACCTCATGCTGACAGGTCGTTGGTTGGCTTTTAAGCTTTCGCCTCTACTTATTGGCGGGATGGTGCCACGCCCAACTCCAAACATGCTTGCTGGTGGGCTGAGGCTAGACAACCCGAGAGCCGGGGTGCGTGGTCAGGCGTCGTGGAAGCTCGCATTTTGATCGGTGTCAGAGTTGAAAGGCGAGGGAGTTCGCAGTGCTCTGGCAGCTGTGCCCGATTCAGATGCCGGAACCCAGTGGCGAAAACACTTCGTGCGACTGCACTTCCGGGCAATCCTTCATGCTGACCGCAAGCCAAATGCCAAAGCTGGTGTTGTGACTGGAAAGGTGGTTCGGCGCCCTCGCGCAGAGCCGCCCGACGACCCGCCCATGCCATTGCAGGCCAGGGCTGCCACGGCCAGGTTCAAACTTTCGCCTGAGTTGCTCAGAGGGCTTGGCCCCTTTGAGATTGGTCACGACAGGTGCCTTCCATCGAGCTCTGCCTTGGTCAGGCAGGGATTCGTCAAAGCAATCGCCGACCGTGTTGACACTCGCATACAATTGCAACTGCATGGACAGATAAGTGACGCAGTCGGCACCGGCTGCTGCGGCAGCACAAGAATAAGTCGAACCTTGTTCACGGCCTCGCGACACAAGAATGTGTCGCGGGAATGGCAGTAAAGCTTGATCCGAGTATGCCAGACCAATGCCTAGAGATGTCTTACTGCAAGGCAGGATCGGAAACCGGAAGTTCGGAAGAATCACACATGAACCCTTCTTCTCAACCTCCATGCAGGTCTGGCTCCGCGGGGCCAGCGGCGCCCTCAAAAGCAGTGGCGCTGGCATCGGGCGCCTGGACTCAAGTAACGAGAGACATGTGCTGTGCCCAGAACCTAAACCCTAACCCTGCTGAAGTCCTTGAAGCCTCTCGAAGGGGCACATACAAGCCTGCCTAAACTAGGCTCTCCCGACTGCTGCAGGACGGAAAAAGGCCCTCAAAACACAAATCCCTAACCCTAAACCTATACACCCTTTTTGGGTTCATCTGTCAGGAACTTGGCCTTGGCAGCTGCGTCTATGCGTCGTCCTCGGGGCTCGGGAGTCCTTCGGCCCCAGGACTCCGAGCTGGGCCTCGGGCGAGGGGTTTTGGGAGTTTGATTTGGGGGCCTTGGGATTTTTTGCTTCTGAACTTTTGGGTAAGACTTTCGCGTCGGTTCAGCCTGCCAGCCGCCCAAAGAGCCAACTCAAGACTTGGCAAACCACAACGTAAGGCGCGCCTTTCGCGGAGGGGGCCTCGGCATTGAACCTGCAGAGCAAAGTCGAGCTTGGGAGGAAAGATGCTTGTGTGGGACGAGGTTTGAGGGCAGAGTTTAATGCTGGGAGATCTCTACCTGCTTGTGGACATTTGTGGACTATGACCCGAGGCAAAGACGCGGCAGAGGCCCCAGCGCCAGAGAAACAGCTGACAGATGCAAGCTGCGCTGCGTGGCCGGAGCCTCGCAGAGCCTTGCACAGTCTGCCACTTGGGGGGTTGCTGTGAGGATCCGTTTTCCTCATGTTCTTGGCCTGGTAGTTACTGAATTGCATGCGGGAACTCGGTCTCGAAGAACTTCTCTTTAGACCAGTTCGGTTTCAGTGCTCCGCTGCCGTCTCCATCTTCAGGGCCAGCTGCAAGACAGCATTGCAGAAGGCTCTGCTGATCGGCACGCTGGACCAGGTTGGCCGGGTGCCATCTGGTAGCGGTCAGCCACCCACGTGTTCTTTATTTGCTTTGCCTTGGAAGGTTTTGGCCAAGCTGGTGCCGGCAAGGCAGGGCGCAGTGCTGGTGGCTCTAATCAAACCTTCGAAGTGGTGACTACGATGTGCAATCTTATCGAAATCTCCAATTGTCCTTGCCCTGATGTGACACTTTGGGTCCAGTGCAGCATTTTGGGCACGAGTCTGAAAGGGTGTATGCAGTTGACCTACTTCCTTCACCCATGTGTTCTCAGAGGCCATTGTTGAGAGGTGTTCGCAGTTCGAGTTCTGCTCTCTGCCAGGCTGCCTGATGCAATCCCACACACGCTCAAAGGTGTGCCAGGTGCGACAGGTCGGGACTGCACATTTGGGCAGGAAAGGTGTGCACAGCAGAGTTCCCGAACTTTTTGGATTTTTTGGCCTCAGTGTGGGGCTCCTGGTCCTTGCTTTGGGTTCTACAAACTGGAACCTGGGCTCGAACCCGAACTTGCTGTTCAGAGCTGCAAAGCGTCCTAATGCGTCGTAGCCTTGAAGTTCTCGTGGCGGGCTTGCATGGTGTCGGGAAGAGCCTGTCATGGATCCATCGGAAAGGGAGCCGCGGAGGGTTCGCATGTATTATCACGTGACACTGGTGTTATCACAAGTGTGATTGTTTCTTCAATTTGTCACACAGTCTCATGCGTGTGCCATGAATCTGGCCACAACGGTGTCTCGAACGTGCCTTAGACACGTCATGGAGAGGTCTTTTACCTACACGTATCAGGCACGTGATAGAAGTGTGGCGGGCTTTTCCGTCACCCAGCTGTTTGGGATTGTTTGAAGTAGAAGAGCTCATTATCAAACTGCCACTGGTGTATAGGGGACTGTCAACTTCTCGCAATCGGTTTGCTCGGATACGTTGATGTACTGGTCCTGATGCTGGGATCTTCGTCCATTCTGCTAAGCAAGCAAACTGGCACCGACATCTGCTCACTGTATCAGGCGCTTTGGACACGACTTCCTTGATGCACAGTCTCAACAAGATGCTTGAGGTGGAGCGCCATTGCTGGATTGCAGAATTTGCAAGTTCGACAGGCTCAGGGTGGATGCTTGCTTCGGACTCTGACCTTTGTGCGTGCGACGACGCATTGATACACATCTCACCCACCCGAAAACCCCAAGTCTCGAATCCTAAACCCTAAACTGCAACCTTCGTGCAGTTGCGACAAGGGCCCCAACACACGAAGCACATCCTAAACCCCAAACCCTTAAATCCCCCCCCACTTTAAACTGACCCTAAACCCCAACCCCTAAACCCTAAACCCTAAACCCCTAAACCCTAACCCCCTAAACCCTAAACCCCTAAACCCCTAAACCCTAAACCCTAAACCCTTGACCCCCTGCGTATCCCTAGACTTCTCAGGCGGGGCGCGAGCTCTGCGGGGAGGTCCTGTGCCAGGCTGTGGCGGATGCTCCGGAGCTGGTCAGGAGCTATTTTTTGGGGGTTTTGTAGGAGTTTTAGAGGGGTTCTAGGGTTCCTTTCAAGGATTCCTTGAAGGGATCTATAAGGGATCTATAGGGTTTATAGGGGCTTAGGGTTTGGGGGTTTCGGGGTTGAGGGTTTCGGGTTCTAGGGTCCTTTTGTTTAAACATAGGGTTTATTTATTCGAGGGTTTCGGGTTCCATCGGACTTAGGCTTAGGGGGTTGCAAGGTTTTATGGTAGGGTTCAAGATTGATTTTAGGGCGTAGGATTTGTGATAGGGTTTACGGTTTTTGACAGTGTTTCGGGTTTTTGGTTGTGATGAGATTTCGGGTTTAATCGTAGGGTTTGGGGTTTATCACAGGGTTTAGTTTGTGTTAAATTGGGTTCAGGGCGTTTTATGGGGGGCAAGTTGATTGCATGTATAACGGGGCTTGGGGTTGGGTTTTAGAAAAGGACGTTTAGGGTTTATGGTAGGGTTTGCAGTAGAATAGGGCTTAGGGTTGAAAGTCGGGTTTGAGGTTTGCAATTTGACTTAGGGTCTTGATTCAGGATGTGTGATCGTAATTAATTAGGGGTTATGATCGGGTATGGGGTTCTAGGGTTTGCGATAGGGCCCTTAAGGCTTTATAGTAGGGTTTAGGGCTTATAGCAGGGTTTTTGTAGGGTCTAGGGTGTCGAACAGGATTTATATTCATGGTAGGGTTTGCAATAGAGTTGGGAATAGGGTTAAGAAATCAAAGGCAGGGTTGAGGGCTTACGATAGGGTTTAGTGCTTGTTCTAGTTTGGATTTAGGGTTTATAGTTCATAGCAGTGTTTTGGGTTTATTAGGGTTGGGTTTGGGTGTTATAGTCGTTATAGTAGAGTTCACGGCGCATTTGAATGGCTTATATGGGGGTTTAAGGTTTGTATACATGGTGTATGTTGAGGATGCGGGTTGTTGATGGTTATGGTCAGCTAGGGTAGGGCGTGCAAGAGGGTTTGGGGTTTCGAGTAGATTTAGGGTTTGTGTTAGGGTTTATGACGGGGTGTCAGGCTTATAAAAGGGTTTAGGGCTTTGTTTCAGGGTTGACAACAGGGTGTAGGGTTTAGGGTCTAGGATGGGGTTTAGGGTTTAGGGTTCAGGTAGTTGGCTTCGTGAAGAAGCCATTCTGTTCAGTACAGAGGTTTGCCGTCTGCTTCTATGCGTTCCTTTCGTCCCGACTCGGGAAAGAGGGAGTGTGGGGAGGGTGATTTCAGCTAGAGGCTTTGTATTGCACTTTTGTAGCACTATACTGTGGCACCACTGTGTTACAGGAGGCCCGATTGCTGTATTGTTCCGATGTGCAGTGGCCCTGCCCCATTGGACTGGAGAAGGCTCAGGTCTTCGGTCTTGGGCTTGAATAATTTAAACGCTGCGCGTCGTCCGCCTCGGCCCGGCCGTATGTTGGGAGGAAGACATGATGCCAGGTCTGGGGCTTTTGCTTTCGCAGGATAT